AATGAAGGGGGACTATGGTCAGTCATAGGAGATTGGGTAATAAAGTCCACGGGGTGGGGAGGGGTCTATACTGTCTTGAGGAAAGTGAGAAATTCTACATAGGGACTGGATGCTTTACACTGGAACATGGAAGGGATAACTGTGAAGGGGTGAGGGGTGTAAGCATCTGATCCGGCACAGCATGGTGATAGAGTACTACAGGTAAAGGGTTTTTACCAGTCACCACCATCCTGGCTAGAAGAGGAACTGAGTGAGGTGAAAGTAGCTGGAAAAGTTTGTTAGCGGAGGCAAAGGAGCAGTAAAGGTAGTGGAGTGACCCCGGTGAGTAACTAGAAAGTGCAGAGAGGAGGAAGGTTTAGTAGTATGTGGGGATCTGGCAGATGACAATGTTAAGGGAAGATGATGCAAGCAATGACAACAGTAGACCTTTAGCCTCGGTGGGAGGTGTCTGCAATGGCAGCATTAGAGTAAGTCTAAGGCATTGGGCAGAAGATGGTGACACTTACCATAAATTAGGAGAAGGAGTGGGCCATTCAGTGCAACAAATCTGCTGTGTAATTCAATGAATTCATGCATGACTGATTATCCTTGTTTCCTTCTTTCTCCCCATAATCCTGGATTCCCCTACTGATTAAAAATCTGCCTATCTCAGCAGCAAGGAATTCTCACAGATTCATTAACCTCAAAGATGAAATTTCTTCTCATCAGCTTCTTAAATGTATGGCCCCTTATTCTGAGGTTATGCCCTCTGATCTCAGCATCTCCTACAAGGGGTGTTCATCTTCATCTACTCTGTCAAGTCCCCTATGAAGCTTGCATTTTTCAGTAAGGTCACCTCCCATGTTTTTAAACTCTAATCAGTACAATCCCAACCTACTCAACCTCTCCTCAAAAGACAGCCCTTCTATGCCCAGGATCAGCCTAGCAAACCTTTTCTGGATGGTTTCCAATGCTAGTATATCTTTCCTTAGATAATGTCAGAAGTCATAGCGCTGCTCCTTCAACAGGTGAATTGTCCTCATGAAGGAGCCGCGCTCTGGAAGCTTATGATATCAAATAAACCTTTTGGGCTATAAGCTGGTGTCGTATGACTTCTGACTTTGTCCACCCTAGTCCAATACTGGCACTTTCACATCATGGTTTCCTTAGATAAGGCTCCATTCCCTTTGAAGTAAACGCTAACATCCCATTTCCCTTCCCTATTCTGAGGAAGGGTCACAGATGCTGCGTGACCTGCTGAGCTTTTCCAGCAACTTTCTTTTTGTCCCTTCCCTATTGCCCACTGAATTTGCATGCTAGCTACTTGTGATTCATGGATATGGAGTCCCAAATCCCTCTCTACCATAGCTTTTTGCATTTAAATAATTTTCCATTTAAATAATTCACAGCTCCTATATTCTTCCTGTCAAAGTGTATAACCTCACATAGTTCCAGTGGTGAGCACTTCCAACACTATAACCGCTTGATTGAATGTGAAGGGATCTTTGGAATCCAATGCATAATTAATAAGGTGACAGCAGTAAACTGTAAATGTTGCCATGGCGCATAGAGGAAAATCCTTCAGCAAACTTCCTGAAAATGATATAGTTCAAATATGGGAAGATTCAGCCCTCCTATAATTATGTCATTGTGTGAAAATGCTTCGTGTGATATTTTCTTTCCAATTATTCCATTAAGTTTCATGTCCAGAAAATCTTTATTGTAACTGTATTAAACTAATGGTCCTCTTTTAAGTATTATAACAGTTTGCTTTCAAAGTGTTAACTTCTGAAATGTATAACTCCTCTTGGTATGGAGATACTTATTTATAATAACAAAGTTGTTCTTTCTGGGTTAAGAAATTAGAGAACCCTATTACCCTTGGTAACACTTTTAAAACTCCCAAAATGTTTTAAGACACTATTAAGATGGAATAGAAAATAAACACAAGTCATTTCACTAGCTGTCAATGGCTTGATAAACAAACTGTGCTTCTACTTCTATATATTATCACTCAGATTTAATACAACAGCTATGGCTCATTTCACTTCACATTTTATAAACTTTAGTAGTTTCAGTTCAACTCCTCGTAAAGATTCCAAGGCATACATTCATGAAAAATTTGATACTAATTGATACCAATCTGACAGCATCCCCAAAACAGCACATAGAATTATTGGTTTGGCAAATGTAAATTTGATATTAAAGATAAAGCCTGACCCAGGATTTATCAATGGGATTATGGAGATGACATTCTTGTCTTTGATTGCGATGGCAGAAGATAATATTCGGATTTTCACTTTTCCATAAATTCTTTACTTGTGCTTGTTTAAGCATTCAGCATGAACCATCATTGAGCTGATAATGAGTGCAAGTCCAGTCTTTTAAGAAAGGCAAAAACAGAAATTGCCGGAGAAACTCAGCAGGTCTGGCAGTATCTATGGAGAGAAAGCAGAGTTAATTTTCAGGTCCAGACACCTCTATTGATTACAGTAGTGATTCAATTAAGAATTATTTTCAAACTGCACTTAAGATTAAATCATTAGATTATGGACTTGAATCCAAAAAATAGACACTATTGCTCTTTCTTGTAAACTAATGCATTTTATTAAATTTCCATGTTATTCCTTACTATTAAGCAAATTTGTAAGAACAGTATATTTTAGTGATTATAACAATGTCATAATTCAGTAAATGGCAATTTCATTGAACATCAGTTTTGAAAGGTAAATGGCAGTGTTCTCACTATGAGCTAAACGTGATAAATTCTGCATTACACTACTAATTTAAGCACATAATTCCAGTTGACATTTATTAATAGCGCTTAATTTGGCTGCTACATTTTCTGGACTAAAGTGACTCTACTTCAAAAGTACCTGATTGTGAAGTGTTTTGGGATGTCCTAAATCCTGAAAGAAATTGAGTACTTTCTCTTGTTGATATCTGCGATTGATTCTAAATCCCTTAATTTTAGTTTTAATTGCATCCCTGAGAAACAATTAAGAGAGACTTATCAAAGCAGAACATCGCTGGTAAACCACACACTGCCAATTTCTAAATATATCTGCCATGAACATGTTGAAACAACTGATATTTTTGCACACACTGCGTTTTACATCTTAAGTAAAATTTTATTCCAAATTTTAAAAATCAGTGCAGTTTTAAATGCTTTGTATTGTTCATGTAACAGACTAGTGCAAGTAATTTGCAAAATTTTCACTTTAAAGAAGCAACAAATATTTAATTATTCAGATATGCTTTTTTCAACATATTCCTGATAACATTTTAGTACCACTTCACTATAATGCACATAGCAAGAAGCATTTTGCTTTCAAAAGGTATCAGCCCCAATTGAAGATTAATCAATTAAACGTTGGAGAAATTCAATGTGAAGTATGCATTCACTGCCTAATCAGAAATCCATTATCTGAACATGTGAACTTGAAGATGACCAAACCATGATGTGAGCAATGGAGTGATGAGAGAGTAATGAATCAGTGATCAGTTGAGGAGAAGATTTAGAATCATCTTGCTAAAGTCAGGGAAGGCACAGAGCTATTTTTCCTTTCACTGGATGTATTCAATAATCGTATGAAACTTCAGGCATTATCTGGAACTGGGGATCTTTTTGGACTGATTTAACAAGATATTTGCAAAAGGAATTAAAATGCATATAATACAAAACCACCCATAGCATTATGATGTTCTTCTGGCCAAGGTAGACTATTTCTCTTAATCCTCTGAATCTGACTGCAGCCTTTGACAGGGTTCACCATATCATCTTCCTTCAACACCTCTTCATTGTCCAGTTGGAAGTAGGTGCAATTGCCTGGTTCCATTCTTATCTCTAATTGTAGTCTAATTTAAGGAGTATCATCTGTGATGGCTTCCTTCTCTGCTCCTGCATCAATATCGCTGGTATTCCTTTAATGATCTATCCTCCAATTTCGGGCCTTTGATGATATCTGAAGGGCAACAATTTGATCATCAACACTTTCTATCCCTTTCTGCTTTCTCTACTGAAGTGGTTAACTTCATACTTACTCACGTTATACTCTTATCTGCAATGTTCTTGCCTATCCATTCAGCCAGTTCAAGTCCTTGTAGGCTTTCCTGTCTCTCCTTCACTATTCACATACCCAGTTTTGTATCATTAGGAAATTTTATTACATTTGGTCTTACATTGTGAACAGCTGGATTCTGAGCACTGATGCCAATGCACTCCATAATTCAATCCTCCTCAAATCTGAGATCATCCAAAACACTGTCTTTACTTACACCAAATCTTGTTCATCAATCACTGTACTGTTTGCTGACCTCTTCTGGTTCTTACTTTTTAAAAAAAACTAATTCTCCTTTTCAGATTTGTCACTGGCCTCACTTGTCCCAATCTTTGAGATATCCTCCAGCCACAAATCTCTGAGATATCTGTTCTTATATTGTTCTGGTTGCTCGAGCATTCCACTATTAATTACTACAGTGGTTGTCATGCTTTAAGCAGCTGAGGCACAAAGCTTTGTTCAGGCTGCCATCTCGGAGGGTAATTATATAGCGATGTAAAAATGACAATGTGCCTAGCATTGTCAGGTTCCTTGCTATTTTTCACTGTCAGAGACCCAAGCCTCAGAAGATGAGGAGTGTGTCTTGAAAAAAACTTTTAACATCAAATTATTTCACTAAAGAAACATGAATTTTAATTGTAAATGCATTGATTCTGCTGTTAATAAAATTCCAGACAATATAACTTTACATCAAGTATGTGTGTTAAATAGCTGATTTATGAATGAGGAGTTGTTTCTTCATGGAAGAAATGTAATGGCCACGAGCTCAGCCAAAATAGCATGATAACTGCCTCATAATATCAAAGTAACTGTTATAAATTTGCTAATCTTCACTTCAAAATAAATAATTTGGTCCGCTCCTTCTTCTTTTAAAGTGCCCTCATTAATATAAGCAGAAAACATGGAGGCAGTAGAACTTTGATGAATTATCTCCAACAGATATATAAAAATACTCAAGTATCCATTTCTGATATATATTTATAAATGTGTTTACACAAGATGTACAGAGCGGAAAATCTGTGATCTTTCCATTATCTAATATACTTAGCAATAAGGACCAAAAAACATATGGCAATCAGGAAATTCTTGGCTGACTCCAGCCTTGAAGATTTAACTGATGTGGACAGAGGTTCCTTCCTAATAAAAGTTGTCTGCATCAGTTGCATAAATCACTTGAGGACATGAATTTCTGTGAATGGTTATATATAGATGTTAAATTATTGTTCTGTACAATCCATCTGAGGATTCCAGCCTAGATTCTCCAAAGATTCAGAAATATTCCACAATTGAAATTTTATTGATATAACCTTCACTGGACTACTGGACTGTACTCTCTGGTAGTTTTAGTCACAACATCCAACTGTACAGGTGTATCCCATGTGGACAGCAAAGGTTATTTTTCTTCTCAATTTGCAAATAGAACTGCCTTTTTTGGCTATTCACCTCCAGCAAGAATTTGGACAAACAGCCAAACTTTTCAGATATTTTGCTCATATCTACTCTATATCCCATATCGTGAGAGCTAAATTAACCATTGTAACGCATATCTCTTCACATACACCCACATTTTCAAACCAAGTGCTAGACTTACATTTCCAGGATAGTTATCTTTGTACTATAAAACATTGTGTTGCAGATAAAGGCATCATTGATAAAGAAACCGATGAATAAAGTGGATGTAAAATAACACAATCTAATATGCACAGTGCACCAACTCAAGGACGTGTTCAAAACATGGAATTCACCATAATGTGAAACATAAACAGGACTCTGGACTGATGCATAAATTATCCAAAAAAGCTAAATTGTGTCTTCCGCTGAAAAGCTTCATATGCTGAGTTACATACCAAGTGTCACTCACCATTTTCCAGCCATCAGTTTTAGTTTTAGCACTGGTGGTGCTAAAAACAGAAACTGTACCCCAAGTTACTCTATGCTGAGTAATCAAGGTCAACTTTGTCATATGACTGATCCTGTTAGATATCTAATCATGTCACTCATTATTTAACAAAGAAGCACATGCTGTGCTAAGATACCATGGGAGAGATTTATAGCAACAAAGACTGTATTTCCTCAATTCATTAATATGAGTGACAAAGTTAGCATGGGTGTAAACAACAATTCATCGCCATATAAAATCTTTACCATCTTCCTGGTTTACATTCAAGATATTCTTTGTCCAACTGTATGGAATGAACGATAGCAAGAACTGCAGATGCTGCAGTCAGAGACAATACAGTGTGGAACTGGAGGAACACAGCAGGCCTGGCAGCATCAGGGGACCCTTCTTCAGAAGGGGAATAACTCATACCATGATGATCACTGTGTTCTGAAGTAGGGTCCCGACCCGAAACGTCAACATTCCTGCTCCTCTGATGCTGCTTGGCCTGCTGTGTTCCTCCAGCTCCACACTGTATTGCATCTTGTGTATGGAGTGGAAGACAAGATAAACCCAGATGATTTGGCAACGATGTACAGGACTTCAGAATAACTTTAGAAATAAAAATGTCTTATTTGGCTTTCTTTCCCTTTTCCTTGTTTGTACTTCTTTTCTGCTTCAGTGACTTCAGTTCAGTCATTGTTGCCAACGTTCTGTACACCCACACAATCTAAGGAAACAACAGAAAGTGGTTAAGTTGTGGGAAAAAGGAATTTCAAGTCTGAAGAATTGGAAATACCAAGATAAATGGAAATGAACTCATACCACGATGATCATTGTGTTTAATAAAAGTGGGGTTGAAAAGACGAGTGAAATGAACATCCCATTGGAATCAAAGTACTGGTACATGGAAAATAACCTGGAAAAAAATAATTTTGACAACCTGAGCATTTGTTTATAAGAATATATATTATATCGTTTTACCAATTTTAACAAAATGAACAAGAACTACAAGCGAAGACCAAAGAAGAAAGTAACTATTTGATCAGTTACAAGTATTGTTTCGTGCAACTGTTACATCTTTCACAAAAGAGTAATGTTACAAGGTTAGCTCAATGTCTTCAGTTAATAGATGCTATTAAGTCATTTTTTTAAAAAATTGAGAGCAACAACTCCCACAGTAGTGAATCGTGCCCTCAGCCACATCTGACCCACTTCCTGTACTTCTCCCTTTACCCCGTCCCCTCACTACTAAAACAACAGGCTCCCCCTTGTTCTCACTTGCAATCCCATCAATCTCTGCACATATAGGATAATTCACTGCCATTTCTGCCAGACCCAGCAGGATACCACAACCAAATACATCTTCTCCTTCCCTTATTATTAGATTTCCATTGGGACTGTTCTCTCCATTAAATGTCTCTCTTCCTCACGACTCACTGTTCAAGGCCTCAAACATGCCTTCCAGATGAAGCAGTGGCTTAGGTGTACTTTGTTCAATCTAATCTTCTGTGTTTACTGGTCACAATGCGATCTCCTTAACGTTGGCAACACCAAACGTAGATTGGTGAGTGCTGCTGTCTCCTCTGGAATGACCCTGATCTTCCAGCTGCTTGCCATTTCAATAAACCATTTTGCTCTCATCCTGATATTTCTACCCTGGGTTTGATTCAGTGAGCTGAACATAAGCTGGAGGAAAGCACCTCACTTTTCACTTAGGCACTTTACAGCCTTCAGGACACAACATTGAATTCAATAACTTCACAGCATGATCTGTGTCCTCCATTTTTATTATAATATACCCATCTTGCGCATGTCTTGTTGGCTTTGCTTTCAGCAGAGTGGATATTTCTCCCTGTCACACCTATTACTTACACAGATTTTACATCTCTATCTCTCCCTTGAGTAACTTTGCACTCCTTTTGTCTTTTGCTTAAGGAACCTTCACCCTTGGGTCCATTTACTCCTCGTTTTTCCTGCCAACAGCGTAAAAGCCATTATCCAGCCCCTTTCAATTCTGAAGAAGTCTTTCAGACTCAAAATGTTAACTGTTTGTCTTTTCTTGTCTGGATGCTGCCAGACCTGCTAAGTTTCTTCGGCATTTTCTATTTTTGCTTCATATTTCCAGCATCTGCAGTACTTTGCTTTTATTTTAAATGCTGGTGTTTATCCTCCACCCAAGCAGTAGTCCTTTTGCCATATACACATACTCGTTCTTCACTTCTTTATTCCCTTTCATTCAATCACCTATGTGACTTATTCTTAAATATTATCACAGTTGAAATGACCTCTGTTTCAATCTTTAACTCTGCTAGCACATTCCACTGTCTCAGTCCTCCGTCCAAACATGTTTTTCTTGCTCTCCATGGTAAATAATGGCATTTGACTTTATAGCCTTGTCACTTTATTCTAGATTTGCCAATCATTAGAAATAGTTTGATTCCATTTACCCTGTCCCACACCTTCACAATTTTAAACTGCTCTAGTGACTCACTCCTCTTCTAATGAGCAGTTCAAATTTTCAGACCTCCTTCTCGTTTGGATTTCTTCACACCAGGCAGCATCCTACTAAATCTACACTGTATTCTCAATATTGTCTCAATGTTTCTAATACAGCTTGGAGCCCAAAAGTACTCGAGCTTTGATCTCAAGGTTACGTACAGATTCATTATAGCGTCTCGATTTATATGTTCTACAACCCTCACTATGAAACTTAATTTTCCAATAGAATTTTTAAGGTCTCATTCATTTAACCGCTAATGTCTTTTTTTAAAATCTGAACCACCAAATTCATCTACTATTTATTCACCTTCCTCCCAAAGTATAGCTATAAGAACAACGTTAAACCACAAGATGTACCACCTCAGATTTGATAACAATGAATTCCATCTGCCATTTTCTTTTTCATTCTGTTAGCTCCCCCCCATATACCCTTGTAACTTTCTTTGTTTCTCATAGTAATTTACTATTCCTCTGATATTGTACCATCTGAAAAAACTGGACATTGCTGGTCTAAGCTCCATGTCTAAACCATTCATGGATACAGTGAAGAGCAGATAGTTGGGTTAAGTTGAAATAACCAGGGATTCATGGCAAGAACAGCAATTTTAAAAAGTAGTCATGATGAAAATTGAGTCAGATTTAGTTTTGAAAACCATACACTTATCCTGTCTCAACATTTGTTCAAACAATACAGAAAATTTACTAAATTTCACATTAATTCACAGCTTTCACAACAATGCAGTGGTAGGATTACATTCAACTTGAACCCAAGAGCTGTTTAATAAATTACTTGGTTAGCACACGAAATTCGATTTATTCATGGCAAGCTATCAGTGACTTTTTGAAACGTACATCTAAAGTGCTCAAGTCTAAGAAACAAACGAAACAAAGCTGCCAGTGTTGTGTACATAACTGTTTTAATGCCACAGGGGTTTCCATTGCCTTTACCTCCAGTTCATTGCTGCCATTTCATTAATGTATTCTGCACAGTACACCAACACAACTGCAATAAAGAGAAAAGAATATAATAATAACAACAAAGGATGAACATTTAATTGTTAAATTAAATACGCTTAACTTTTATTCCACTTATGAACTTGGTTATATGAGCTGTAGATATTTTGACATTTAAATGATTTCAAAAATTCAATTGATTTAAAATTGAATACAGAATTTTTAACATCAGCAAATGCTAAAGAAACTACACGTATTCTGTTCATTATAATGGTCTGAAGTTAACAGGGAAAGCACAGCAGCTTCATACTGCTTGTGTGGACCTAGTTCAATCCAGAACCAAAAGTTCTTAGTTTGGTCTTTGAGTTCAGATACAGATTTTAAACGCAAATAAGGTAACTTCAAGAAAATTTTCATCACATTCCTAGTATTCATTTTTGTTGGGAGGAGGAGAATGAAAGAAACAGAAATCATGGAAGTGATTGGGAATGGGAATAATTATGTAATTCAATATCTGTTAATATACTTCTATTTATTCTTCAAACTGGGCACACACGAGAATTATTTTGCCATACAGTTTTCTTTCACTGACCAAGACTGTGACTTGGCGCAAATGCAAAGTTATTCTGATTTGCAGTAACTTTGCCACACTAATGTATATAATTTGTGTGTGGTCAAGGTGAATGAGTCCCCGAGAGTGCTGGATAGTAAAAAAAATCCATGCTGGGTCAGGAAAGGCAATTAACAAATCAGAAGCAGGATGATGTTAGGTACATTGGCCCTGATCTTGACAGAGACATTATGTCTAGATGGGGATTCTGCCTATCAGGCTTCCAGAGGAAAAAAATGCTTTTTTTTTGGACACTGAAATAGAACATCTGCAGCTGTGAAGTATAAGTTTTCAACATGTCCCAATTTTAAGCCTTGGTATTGTAAAAATACTGTTTTCTTAATCCCTGTAATGTGACCTCGAGTTCATCTTTAAGTAAAATGCATTTGCATGCAATGGTATCAGGATTTGTATCCAATCTAACTGCTTACTTTGGAAGAATGAAATCAACAGCCTAGCACAACTTAGATTTGAGGTGCAGCTGCTAACAATAAAGCTCAGTCGGGGTCAGATCCAAAATTCTATTGGAAAATTAAATTTTATATATAATTTGATAATATTTAATAATACCTCATATTTTCACTGAATTAGTGCAAAGACAAACAAAAACTCCAATAACATACTGGTGTCACCTGATGAATCCAAACATTAAAAAAATTACTTTTTTTCTCAATTGACTATATTGTTCATTTGACTACAAAAGGAGACTAAATGCTAATTCAGAGATATCATGCCATTTACCTGCTGAAAATATCTGCTTCCACTTGGTGGAGTGCAAGAACACTAAAATACCCCGGCAAAGTATGAAACCTTTGACACTTTGGAATTTCAAGCCATAACTATACAGACTACTACTGACCACCAATGTTCAAATTTCATCCTGCTGCAGCACCTCTCATGTTATCTGTTTTTTGCAAACATCTCTGTACTGTTACTGTTTATCGAAACCTGTTGTCATTGTAACACACTTAACCAAACCTGATTTTCAGTCCGAAGGGTTCATATCTCCCTATCAATATCAAAAAAAATGTTCATTTTAATTTAAAATAAAATTATCTCAAACAGCAGACTGCACCCCTACCTTGAGCTGTAAGTTTCTATTTCTTTTGAAATATGGGTATTCAAATATTTGCAAATTTTCTGTGTCTTTTACTTCTTGAAGCATTTATTTAACCTGACAGTACCTCAGGGATTTACCTGTGTACATCTAAGCGGTGATTAGCTGCAACACCGCACCCAGTACAGACAAGTTAGATAAAGATTCCATTATTCAATTCTGATTTGGTGCTCCTTTAAACTGAACTATGAAGGACTGCAGAAACGCACTGCTACTTCCAATTTAAGATGCTTCATTTTGTAATTTAAAAAAAAACTTACATGCTCAATGACAAACAACTAAGTAGTCCAACATTTTGGTTATAATTGATGCAGACCTCTTACACTTTTGAGATAGCAGATTCTAGGCTGGATCAACACTTGAGTGTAAATCCATTAAGCCACTGTTATGATCAATAAATTTCACTTCAAAACAACTCCTAAGAATGTTTATAATATAATATATTGTTCATGATTTGTACACTAATGGTTAAGACTTACAATGCCAACATGTTTGGATGTAAAAGAAATTTAACCAAAGGAAATAATAAATAACTCAATGGTATTAAAAGTTTGATTCATTATCCCATGTTGCATGCACTACTTATAGTTTCTACTTGAATTGAAATTTTATATGTAGTAAAATATAATTGTTATAATTAGATTACTCTCACAGATTTTCTGAGTCAAAAGCTTGGTAAAAAGCACAACTGGAGGAAGTCCATAATCGACAATTTGCAGATAACAAAACAAAATAAACAATTAAACTTGGGAATCCTTGACTATTCCAAGGAATACGGTTACTGGCTATTCAATATGGATTTTAAAAGTAAATGAAAAGTGAGTCAGCATAATAAACGTATCATGGGATGGCAGAAGAAATGGAAGCCAGTGGGAAGATTCAGATTCTAAAAATCTCAGTATCTTTCAGCCTTATGCACACATACAATTTCATTATGAACCATTAAAGGTCATAGAGTTAGAAACTTCACAACTTTATTAAAGGCTTGTCTATAATGATATTATGTAGATATATTATGTAGACAGCTGGTGACTAGCACCGCAATGACTGGGATTCTCTTCAATTAACTCCCAATGACAGTGCTCTTATTTCTTCATAGCACTCCCTAGAATACTAGATATTAAATTGAAGGTATGAATTAAAAGATAAGAAATTTAGATTCAGCTAGATAAATTACTCAATTTTTTAACTAATTTACTGTATTGTATCATTGTTTCGTAATTTAACCGGTTACTTGTACCTGAAAAGTGCTTCCACATTTAGTGGAATAGATTTTCAGAACATTTACAAAGCATCACACTGACCTCTAGTGGTAGTAATCATACACAACAATGCCAAGTTTCATGCACATTTTGCACCAGTAAAATTACAAAGTTTCAAATCTGTTGACTGCTTTGGCCTGCAGCATAACTTTCAGTGTTGTCAGTGCAGGCTTATCTACTCCCTATTTGGGAAGACAATCTTATATACTTCCAAAGGCATTGTAATATAGAAACATTCGCTGGAAATGGAGGGTTTGAGGTATAAAAATAGGCTGGATATGCTGGGATAACAAGGTGTAGAGCTGGATGAACACAGCAGGCCGAGCAGCATCAGAGGAGCAGGAAGGCTGACGTTTCGGGCCTAGACCCTTCTTCAGAAAAAGGGTTCTGAAGAAGGGTCTA